GGGGAATCGATTTGCTGGGACCCCTACCCAAGACGACCGGCGGAAGGAAGTTCATCATTGTGGCAATTGATTACTTCACCAAGTGGGTAGAGGCCGAGCCTCTGGTCACTATCACTGAATACCAATGCCAGAAGTTCGTTTGGCAGAACATCATATGTCGTTTCGGCCTGCCAGAGCAAATCATCATCGACAATGGCCGGCAGTTCGTCGGGCGGGGTTTTGGAGCATATATGGCCAAGTGGGGTATCCAGCATTCAAAGGCCTCGGTGGCCTATCCACAGGCCAATGACCAGGTGGAGAACATGAATCGAACCATCATGGATGGGATCAAAGAGAAATTGGAAGACTATGCATCCACCTGGCCCGAGCAACTCAACAACGTCCTATGGACGTACAGGACAACCCCAAGGACTGCCACAGGGGAGACGCCGAACATAGGAGAAATTAAGGTGGTGGCGAGGGGGCCGAGGCGGCATCCCCTGCTCATAAAACTCCAGATCATCACCGGAGGAACATGGGCGGACGTGCAATCAGGGTCAAATACCCCGTACGTCCAAAGGGGGACAACCGAAAGAAATGGTGCAGCAAGTCCACGGTGGGGGTCACACCGACGCTATGGCATCTAATTATAAAACCCGCAATGATCCTGTAAGCGGCAGGGACGAACTGCGCAGGAACTATATTAAGGCTCCTAAAAAGCTCCAAATGAAAGCTATGCAAAGGGAAAAGAAGACCAGCCATAACCGAGTCCAAGTGGACCACCACGTAGCCGGGCAGATGGCGCAAGGGATTACGCAGGCGCCAATCATCGTAGACCTTTGGGGGGGGGGGGTAAAACTATTGGCTGATCAGGCGCCTGTCAGCATTCGACAAACGTTGGCGTTGACGCCGAACGTAGGAGAAATTAAGGTGGTGGCGAGGGGGCCGAGGCGGCATCCCCTGCTCATAAAACTCCAGATCATCACCGGAGGAACACCCGTCGTCAAAACGACCTTCAGAAGACGACGAGCTGATCCGAGTCCTTTGATCAGTAACAGGGGATTCCACCCTGGAGGAAGACATGACGACGTGCGGTACCTTTGGATCTAGTTCAGAGAATGTCTAGAGAGAGAAAGCAATTGCGCAGCGTAAGGAGAAGTGTGAGTGGACCACATGGTTCTGGGTACTTATAGGCAGCACCGTGGGATCACACCAATCATAGTTGAACACGCGGCACCTAAGTACCGGTACATACCGCGGTATTAAAGGCACCTCGATTTCGCCACCCCCTGATCAGGGCAAGAAAATCCAGACCAGTGCCACGAGCGTCCTGCCCTTGAGAAGGGGCATAGCTCATCCATGGGCGCTTTCCACGCACCCAGAAGGCGCAGGCGGAAAGGGATTCATCAGCTCCGAGAATTTCCACACAAGGACCACGTCCGTTTTTTGGCCCGGCATTAGCAACAAGCGAAAGACGCACGTCCATATCAACATGATACGTCCGTGTTTCCACACTTTGCATCACCAAAGACTAAAACAAGACAATAGCAGAAGAACGTCTCCCTGTGACACTGGGGTGTGTGCAGCGCACGTCGAAGAACAACCGCTTTCATACTCGCATGAATAAACCTCAGAGACGAACGTCGCCACCCAATATTAGGCTTAAGCAGTATGATAGCAAAGATTGCTAAACGAGCGTGGAGCAAAGATTGATTTTATTCTTCGGCACTATTGGCCGGATATCACAAATACAAGGTACAAATGTAAACAATGAAAAAATTGATACAAGTACAAAGCTACGAGCAGAGCATCAGTTCTGGTCGGCGTCCGGAGTTGGAACCTTGAAAAGAACCTGCTTAGCCTTTTCCTTAGCCTCAGCCTCCTCTTGCTCTCGACGCTCCCTAAGTAGCTCAAGGGCCCCCTTGTGAGCATCCACCATCAGCGAGTCGAAACCGGCCGCCGCCGGATCGAAGGGAGCCCCGAAGTGACGCTCAAAATCCGGGAGGTTCTTTGCCACTAGACCAATCATACCCTTGAGGTAGGTGTCATCGGCGAGATCATCAAGGAAGCACTCTCCGGTGGGAGTGGCTTGGAGCAGCTTGATGCCATCAAGGTAAGGATCGCGGCAAGTAGCAAGGAATTCCCCAACGAACTTTAGAAGATATTTCCTGGCCATGGCCTGGATGGCGCCAGTGTAGGCCTTAGACTTCTGGAATTCAATTGAACCAGACTCCTTGATCTTTGAGACATCGGCCTCGTATATAGGAACATGGTTATCTATACCGGTGCGACGAACGTCCACCCCGACATTAGAAACCGCCCACATGCGGCTGCGCAGATCCACCAGCTCGGCCTCCTGTTTCCTCATGAGTTCTTTCTGGGAGGCATTCTCCTAGACAAGCTTATCATGAGCATCAGCCTTCTCTTGGAGGGTCCCAACCTTGCCCCTAGCATTTCTGAGCAGGGCATTGCATTCAGCTCGTACTAGGGCCATCTCCCTCCCCTGCTGTTCGAAGGCCATCCGAGCCCTGCGGAAGTAGAGCCCAGCCTTGTCCAAAGTACTCTGGCCACACTCCAGAAGATCCTCGGGGGCCTCCTGAGCGGCGAAGTCCTGAGGAACCTTAAGGTTGAGACCACATCAGATAGAGGACGCGGTCTGGCCGAAGAGCATCATCGACTCTTTGCGGGGGCCAACCCCGGAGAATCCAATAAGGCCAAGGGTGGACCTGTTGGTTTCTGGAGGCGAAGGTGGACGAACATCGTCAGAACCTCCAACGGTCTGTGTGTCCTCATCCCGGAGGCGACGAATGTCAGAATTCCTTGACGGAGAAGGAGGGGGCTTAGTCCTGGAAGTAGCTTTCCGCTTAAGGGGACTCCCAGGCTCGCCATCGGAGTCATCAGTCACTATGATGGCCTTGAAGGCAGTACCATCAAGACGAGGCCTCTTCGAAGCCCCAGCCTCCGACGTATCATCAGTCCGTGCTCTAGTCACCCGAGCCTCGATTTTGAGGACGAGCGGCTTTCTGCCCTTATCCTGATCCTTGCCTTCGCGACCAGGGATAGTTGAACCATCATTGGTACGCCCCATGGGAAAAGTAGATGGAAAAACTCTTGCAGGAAAGAAACCAAGACGTTCAGAACCGTAACAATGAAGAGACGATAAAACAATACAAGTACAAACGGACACACCTAATCCGGCCTGATCTTTAAAAGGCTCGGCCACCAGCGACCGGAGGTTCTGGATGCCAAGTCCAGCTATGCGCTTGGCATAGCCAAGCTCCTCATCCGTCATTGGCGGCGAAATAGACTTCACCGGGAAGGGCGTTCCACCGGTCAGAAAACGACATCGGGGAGCCTACTCCGGCGAGAAAGAAACGCTCCTCCCAGCCGTCCGGATTCCCGGCGTTGTTGGAGAATAGGACCATGGGCGGACGTGCAATCAGGGTCAAATACCCCGTACGTCCAAAGGGGGACAACCGAAAGAAATGGTGCAGCAAGTCCACGGTGGGGGTCACACCGACGTTATGGCATCTAATTATAAAACCCGCAATGATCCTGTAAGCGGCAGGGACGAACTGCGCAAGAACTATATTAAGGCTCCTAGAAGGTCCAAATGAAAGCTATGCAAAGGGAAAAGAAGGCCAGCCATAACCGAGTCCAAGTGGACCACCACGTAGCCGGGCAAATGGTGCATGGGATTACGCAGGCGCCGATCATCGTAGACCCTCAGGGGGTAAAACCATTGGCTGATCAGGCGCCTGTCAGCATTCGACAAACGTTGGCATTGACGCCGAACGTAGGAGAAATTAAGGTGGTGGCGAGGGGGCCGAGGCAGCATCCCCTGCTCATAAAACTCCAGATCATCACCGGAGGAACACCCGTCGTCAAAACGACCTTCGGAAGACGACGAGCTGATCCGAGTCCTTTGATCAGTAACAGGGGATTCCACCCTGGAGGAAGACATGACGACGTGCTGTACCTTTGGATCTAGTTCAGAGAATGTCTAGAGAGAGAAAGCAATTGTGCAGCGTAAGGAGAAGTGTGAGTGGATCACATGGTTCTGGGTACTTATAGGCAGCACCGTGGGATCACACCAATCATAGTTGAACACGCGGCACCTAAGTACCGGTACATACCGCGGTATTAAAGGCACCTCGATTTCGGCACCCCCTGATCGCGGCAAGAAAATCCAGACCAGTGCCACGAGCATCCTGCCCTTGAGAAGGGGCATAGCTCATCCATGGGCGCTTTCCACGCACACAGAAGGCGCAGGCGAAAAGGGATTCATCAGCTCCGAGAATTTCCACACAAGGACCACATCCTTTTTTTGGTCCGGCATTAGCAACAAGCGGAAGACGCACGTCCATATCAACATGATACATCCGTGTTTCCACACTTTGCATCACCAAAGACTAAAACAAGACAATAGCAGAAGAACGTCTCCTTGTGACACTAGGGTGTGTGCAGCGCACGTCGAAGAACAACCGCTTTCATACTCGCATGAATAAACCTCAGAGACGAACGTCGCCTCCCAATATTAGGCTTAAGTAGTATGATCGTATTTGCATACGTGGAAGGAAATTACCTTGTGGAAGCCAAGGGATACAGGCATCAGCAATGGAGCGTCGCCACCCAACACTGGATTTAGGCAATATGTTCGTACCTTCATACTTGAAAATATGAGGGTCAACTGAGGCGAAGCCCACGATGAGCGGACGTCATTCTGGACGAAACATCGGATTAGCATGATCGTCCTCGCAGACTTTGGTTATATTTCAAAAGACCAGAGGAGATCACGCAGAACCCCGAATAATGGATACGAACGTAGAGACAACCGCAGAGCAAAAGGATTTAGTCCACCAGCTCTAAAACACTGGGTATCAAAGAAAAAAGGCAATAAAGTAAAAGATCACGAACGTAGAGACAATCATGGAGCAAAAAGAGTTTGTATATTCTTCAGCTCTAATGGCTGGATGTTATAGAATCAGAACAAAGAGAATTGCGATTTACATCAGATAAAATTGGGGGAAACCGGCCGAGATCCACCTGGGACAGCCTCTTCTTCTTCAACCTCAGGCTCGGGGGTTGGGGGCTCTGTAGTCTCCCCCTTGGCTTTAGCTTCTTCCTGACGGGCGTCACGTTCCAGCTTGCCCAGGGCCCGGAGCAACTCCGCGTCATCAGTATGCTGAGCCAGATTGAAGCCGGGGCCTTGGAGCTTGGCGAATATGGGCAGGGTAACCTTCACCCCCTCGTTGTAGCCAATGACGAAGGAGCTATCCCCAACGTCATACAGGAACTGCTCGGAGAGAGGAGCACTCTCCAAGACCCGGACCCCAAATTTCAGGCGATCCTTCGGCTTCTGCCTCTCCAGCTCGGCCAAGAAGACATCACCAAATGCTCCCCTGCAGTAATTCTGGGCAGCAACCATGAAGGCCAGAGAGCTCTCATACCCGGAGGTATCAACGAACCATTCAGGGGCCTCGTCTTTGGGGGCTGGGAGAATCGGGACAGACTTGAATCCCGCCTTCTCAAAAGCGGCAACCTTCTCTACGGACTCCCGAGCCGCCTTCAGGGGGGCCTGTAGCTCCTTCTCTTTGGCAGCTAACTCTTTTTCCTGGAGACGAGCGGCCTCCCGCACCTTCTTCAAGGTGGCATCCGCTTTACTCTTAGCTTGGAGGGCATCAGCGTCCCTCGCAGCCTCATCTTGCAGCACGGAGAGGCCAACCTACAGAATCGGATACGAGCGTAAGTTTACATATCACCGAAAAACTGCAATCAGTCGCCCAGCATAAGGGGAATCTTACCTGAAGAGCGGCGGCCAGAGACGCGTTGGTAGCCTCCGTAGACGTCCGGGGAGGCATCTCCACCCCGGCCAAGGAGGCAATTTCCTGCCACACATCGTGGGCCGGACGTCCCAGGGGAGGAAGGGCCATTTCTTGTCTTTCCGGGGCCGAAGAGTTAGCCCCCCGGGGTCTCTTCGACCTTTTGTCCTTCACCTTTTCCCCGCCTTGGGGATGGACGGTCTGCAGGGGCGCCACCATCTTGGGGACGCCAGAGTCAACGTTTGGGGCCTGGTACCCCTGCGCCATTACTGTGGCGATGAGATGTTGTTCCGCTTCCACTGTGCGACGATCGGCCTGGGAGGCGGAGGAGTTAGAATCGGCCGCTTGGACAGCCTTGGCCTTAGCAAGGGCAGCGTCAGCAGCAGCACCTTTGCCCTTCCGGTTCTTCATCAGTTTAGCGTGATCCATCTGAGCCTTGGTAGGGGGCAGACCTGAAAATCAAGGATATAAGATGTCAGAAAGTAAGCAAGAGATTCAAATACGAACACTCACCTCAGAGGACAGGACCGCCCAGTGCCCCGAGACGAGCGTAGAGGGGAATTGAGAGTCCAGAGACACGGGCGGTACCTATTCCTGCTGCGGCGAGTGCCTCGGGAGTGAGGAATTCATCCAACTGATCCAAGGGTCAGACGCCGCCCGTCAGGATTTTCCTAATATCCTCCTCCAGATCGTCGGTTAGATCCGGCGACCCCATCTTGGGGCGGGTAACCATTCCACCGCAATGGCAGACGAGCATCCTCATACTGCACAAAGAAAAATCGATTCTTCCAATCGTGGATGGAGCTCGGTGCACCGCTGAAAAGCCTCCGTTTCGGACGAGCGGCGACACTCAGAAAGCTATCAGAATTCTGAGGGGTGAGCCGGTAGAAGTAATGGAACATATCCAGAGTGGCGGTGACCCCCCTGTTCTTGCAACTGACTAGGAATGTGGAGATGAACCGGTAGGAATTCGGCATGAGTTGTGCAAGGGCTATTTGAAAACAGCAGAAGAACTCCACATAGAATGGGTGTAGGGGAAAATGCAGCCCGACCTCGATGGAGTCCAGAAGCACCATAATCATTCCTGGGCGTCTCCTCATCATATGGGTTGCGCCTCGGAAGCTGTAAACAGACGGAGGGGGGAAGAATACTTTGAGTTTGTTAAGGGCTACGGCCGAGAAAGCTTGCTCATGCACTAAGACGTTCTTGATCGGGCAAATATGACGCTCCACATCTATTTTAAGCCCCTGTTCAAACACCTCCACATCAGATCCGTCTTCGGCCTCCACTCCCGAATCATAGTCCGCTGGACGATCGTCCCCAGGGGCCGCATTTTGATTCCCTACATCATCCGCCTGGTCCGCTACCTCTAGGACCATGTTATCCCCTTGGTCTGCAGATACGACGACTTCTTTGGCGCTGAGAGCGGTGGCATTATCAGGGACACCATCTTCCTGTATGGAGCCCACGGTCGAGGCCGAACCAGAACTACCAGAAACGCTAGCCTTGTTGGAGGATCGTGAGGAGGAACCGGAGCCAGAGCCCGAACCGGAACTGGAGGAGGAACCCGAAGAAGAACCCGAAGAGCTAGAGCTGGAATCCGATGAAATCTCCATGGAGGCCATTGGGCAAATCGGAAAAAGGTTACATGGAAGAAAGAAGAAAACCTAAGTTACCTTGGCGAAGAGAGGAAAACAAGTTGATGACCTTGCAGACGAACAGAGCACCAAACAGCAGAGATCCTATAGCGAGAGAGCAGAAATCGGGAACCCTAATTCTAAGGGAAACCCCAGTATTTATAAGGGAGGCACCGATCCAGGGGCCAACGAAGGGGTGACACGTTGCGAGGAGCGTATCTGGGCTCACGCGCTGCGCGTGGGATGGAAGTGTAATGATGGCCTTTCCTCGGGAAACGCATCGTTTCTATAGCAGCCGTCACCTCGATTCCTGAACCGCTTCCAGCTGGTGGGCATCATGACCATGAGCGTAAACCTTCACAGGATGCAGCAAGCACAAATACTATGCCACAAGCGTCTTACCCTTGAGGAGCATCATACTTCCTTATGTCCTGTGCATGCTCAGAACATCAGAAGTGGGGGACTTGTGTTGGGTTAATGGCCCAAGTAAAAGTTCGGCCCATTTACCCTTTACTCGGACGTACGTCCGGACAGGTCTGGGTAGGCTAAGCTGGCAGGCAACTTGAAAGTGACGAACGTCGTCACCAAAGCCTGGGCTTAGCACCCATGCCGACGAACATCTACCTAGTTGACTGGAAACAGGTCCACAGGCCACAAGAATGACGACGAACGTCGTCAGAGCAAGCCCATAACCACTGAAGGCATCCCAGTCCACATGGCAAAATCCCCCAAGGGTCAGGGGACGAACGGCCCAATACCCCTTGCAATATCACCAGGAGCAACTCACTTCTCCAGCTGGACGAACGTCCCCACTAATTAGGCGGGAAATCCAGATTCTGGCGGGAAGTGCATTTAATGCTGAAGATTTGGTGGTTGGGACACCAGCCATCCACAATCCTCCACGTCAGCATAGCCAATTGCTCATTGGTAGTATAAGTAGCAGCATTTATTTCATTGTAAGGGGTGAGCAACTTTCTATTCTTAGCACTCTAGCTATAGCATTCTTACTCGCAGCTCTTCTACTGCCTTGTAAGACGAACGGCCGACGAGCCTTATCAAAAGTATTGTATTAGGGAATTATTGCTGATTAATAATACCTAATCTCTAACTCGCTACTTACTGTTTCCTTGATCAATCGCACTTGTTAGCTGGGCTAGTTTATTCACATACATAATCCACTCGAAACTCTTGGGCTTACGTGTTGGTTCCGAGGGTTGAAGGAATAAACCTCAACACCATTTATTTAATTAATTCAATTCTTTCCATAATACTCCCTCCGTCCCTATTATATCTTCCAAATAGGTTTGGCACGGAGTTTAAGATAGTGGGTATTGTGTGGTGGAGAGTTGTGCAGAGGAGAGAGAAATGTGTAAGAATTGCTGTGAACCACAAATTCTGGCCAAAAAAGGAAAGTGGAAGTTTTAATTGGGACGGACGAAAAAGGAAAGTTGGAAGTTTATTTAGGGACGGAGGGAGTAATTTATATCTAATCTCGTTCCAATCCCACCGACAAACCTACCCAACGGTCTGAGTCCGCCATCAGAAATTTTTGAACAATCTTTTTCATTTTTCAATTTTCTAAAACTTGTCGTAAAAAGTGATCATGGATTTTTCAAGGATTAGAGTAGAGCTAAGTGCTTGCACATATAAATTCCAACCACGTGGATATACGTTGAATTTTGTTTTGGATCATGGTAACACCTATTTTCCCTTTTCATGTTTGAAGTTTAAAATTTCAAAATAAGAATGTCAAGTTTGGAAAATACTGTCATGTTTGAAGTCTGATACTGCCAAAATATGACAGTAATTAATCATATTTTTGGAATAAAAACATGAGAGTCATATTTTGAAATTTTCAAATTTTTTAGTTCCGTTTTGGGTAATATTACTAAAATATGTAACATTTGATTTCGCATACTGAATTGAGATGACCAAAATTATTTTTGAAAACTGTTTTACTTATTTTTTAATATATTTATCTTAATTTCATTAATAAAATATACTTATTGTTTTATACACATTGTTTCCGTAAATTTTCGGATTCAATCGATTCAGTACTAGAACAAAAATTTCATTGAGTAGATCGGTCTGGCTCTTAGCTTTAGTTTGTTTCGTTTTCATTTTGCTATTTGATCACATAAATTAAAGTCCAATCGCCATTAACGTTCTCTTATGCATGCATCAATATCCACGATGGCGATCTATTATTATTAATTATTATTATTATTAACTTTATTCCTAGCAAGGTAGTTAGATTTTAATTTCCTCGATCACAGATCTATCTATCTACCTCTGTACGTACGTATGTTATCGTTTTTAAGGCCGGCCGGGAAGCAGAAATGTCGTCGGCATCTTCTCGTTCATGGTTTTCGTTTCTTGATTCCAGCAATTCTCTTCTCGCCAGCCTCAGCAAGCTCCTGCTAATCTCCGGCGTCGTTGTCTACTTGGGAATCATCTTCCTCCCCAACATCCCATCATGCCCGTCCTCGCCGGAGATAATGCTGTCATCGTCGAGATTGGCGATGCCGACGGCGACGGGGGACAATAACCCGTCTTCAGGCATCATCCCGTCGCCGCCACCGGCCGAATCTCCTCCTCCGGCGACTCTGCGCGAGTCGCCGGAGGAGAGCAAGACGAACCTGAGCCACCTGATATTCGGGCTGGTAGGTTCGGAGAACGCGTGGCACCACCGGAAGGCGTACATCGAGACGTGGTGGCGGCCAAACGTGACGAGGGGGTTCATATACCTGGACACGGAGCCGACGGAGGAGCTGCTGCCGTGGTCGCCTTGGTCGCCGCCGTACCGGGTGTCGGACAACATAACGAGGGTCGTGGCGGAGACGGGGCACGTGGACGCCACGGTGGCGCGGCTGGTGCACGGGATCATGGAGGTGTTCCGGGACTGCGACGGAGACGACGGGGCGGAGGAGCTGCGGTGGGTGGTGATGGGGGACGACGATTCGATATTCATGCTGGACAACATGGTGGAGCTGCTGGCCAAGTATGACCACAGAAAGTACTATTATTTCGGGGGGCATTCGGAGTTCATTTTGTCAAACTTCTGGTACTCGTTCAACCAAGGCTTCGGTGGGGCCGGGTTCTTCCTCAGCTACCCCTTGGCCAAGGCCCTGGCCCACTCCATGGACTCCTGTCTCAAGCGCTACAACCAATTGAGGGCTGCCGACTCCACCACCATGGCTTGCATTGCCGACCTCGGAATCAATCTCACCCCTGTCCCTGGCATTCATCAGGTATATATCAATTTTACAAAAATATGCATACATTTGCTCCCTAATCCCTCCCTATATATGGACATCAACACTATATTTCGAAAGCCAGTTGCCGTAGATAGGATTGGCAAGAGTAAGTAATAAGTTCAAATTCCG